TACGCCATTTCCGCCTTTTGGCCGTACGTTCACTTTTAGTATGGTTTCCACGCAATCCTTTATAAATGAGACCCCAGGTCAGTTTTCTACAATCAGAATAAGATGATCCGATTAAGTTCAGTTTTCTACAATCAGAATGAGATGATCCGATTAAGTTCAGTTTTCTACAATCAGAATGAGATGATCCGATTAAGTGTTTACATGAACCTCATTCCGATTATCAATCGGCATAACCCACCTCTCTCATTCGGATTAAAAACTCATTTGGATCAAGCTCATTCGGATCAGAATAATCTGAATGGGCAGTTTACATGACACATTTTTATTCCGAACGGCTGTTTAATCCGATTACTTTTGTCCATGTAAACGTAGCTAGTGAGTAAAACTCTCTTATGTTTACTTTTGGTAGTATTTCAGTATCATTTATTTTACATTTAGTCAGTCGTACATGTAGTTCATTGTTAAGCGGACTTGTTAAAACACTGTAACTATTTTTTTTGTTCCGCTCTCGGAGAAGACGCTTTTTCCTTCTCTCCTGCCCTTCCTTATCTTCCCTGCTTTGCTGCTTGGAGCCTTCTCTACATTTTTCATCTGAAACCAGAAATTATGGATATTTTTATTTTTATGGATTTGGTTAGCTGGTCTCTTAATAAATTTTTTGGAACAAAGTTTTTCTTCTTCCATGGGAGGACATGTCAAAGGTGGGACCTCTGTTCTTCTCTGTTCTGGATATACAGTATGTCTGGATTCCAATCACTGGATTCTACAGATTGGCTTGGTGGAAACAATGTCGGTGGCTGTTCATTTCCTGGCTGCCTGACCAATTTGATGGATGGCCGTATTCTATCAGCACTCGGACATTTGCCTTGAGCGAGCTGGACTCGGTCTGCAAGCGGTTCTATTGAGGGTCGCGGGCCGGCTGTGGTCCCTGGACTTTGCTGGCCAGATGGAATTGATTTTGGAGAAGATGATAGATTGGCTCGACGGGATTGTCCACACTATTTGCCTGATTGGATTTGCCACCTTGAGATGCACCAGTAGACACTGAAGCAGATGGAAAATTGTTATCATCTGCTTGACTCTTCTGTTCCCAAAACAACTGATTACAGAATCTGGCTCTCCCCTACAACAGCCTTGAGCTGTTGACTAAATTCTTCCTGGTTGGATTACGTCAACAAGGCTCTGCCCCACACCTCCCCCACTACTCTCACACTCGTCTGAACTGGTTCCTGGAGCAAGCTGAGGGCCACACAGAATGAACAGTTAACATCCATATTCTGAACTATGGCTACGCTGGTTTTGAGGACTTGATTCTTCAGGCTCATGTTGGGGTCACCTCGAGTCAAATTATCAAGGAACTATCTTGGACTCTCAGTCCTCTGATGGGCCTTCGAATGGACAAAAACTCTGTTCCACTTAGAACTGTATTTAGGCCACCCCAGGCCACTTTCCTTCTAAATCCGATAAAAACAGAAGAATATTCTCTTATTTGATTTATTGTTCTCTTAACTGAAAGTATTACGCATTTTGATAATCAGAGAATGTTTATCAAAGTTACAGGAGAAGAGAGGACAGATCTCTTTTCTCCCTCAGTATGATTTCAGCTATGTATAGCTTTTCTGTGGTAAAAATTCTTATTTAACTAAAATAATCTTTATGGTTTAAGTTGATGAAATATCAATGTTTTACTTGTCTGAATCATATTTGCAAATGTTTTGAACTTGAAGCAATTCATTTTTCTTTCAGTTATGTTTTAAATAAGTGCTCAACAGATAATTTAAATKGGTCATGAAATGTTTTGTTCTGAACCACACATAAGCAGCAATAATCTTTGTTTTAGTTTCAGGAGGGCACAGCAAGTTCTGAAACTAACACTTTGCTTGATAATTTCTTTTTCTAATCTAACCTTCTTCAGATATTCACACAAGTGCATACAACACTCACGGCTTCAGATACACGCTTCCCTAAACTCACTTACTGCTCTGGCTAATAAATCTGCTCTATGCAGAGTTTTTTTTTATAAACACCACAGTGTGTCACAGTGTTGATATAATATGATGTTTTTTTTCTCATCTTCCCTTGTGTGGTTTTTAGTTTTTCTGTTAAGATTAGCGCCTCCTCCTGGTGTCTTCATGAAAATGATCCTTGCTCTGTGTAGGGACTGTGGCTGCATGACCCAGGGCACCTGTTCTCCCACGTTTCTACTTCTTCTGAATAGGTGTTCTGAACTGTAATTTCATTGTGCTCTCTGTACGATGACAATAAAGGTCTCTCTAATGTAGTCTAAATACCACATAGAGCTCAGTTGTTGTTCTTTAGCAGTGTTGAAACAATGAAACAAGGAAGTAACGTTTCCTGTTTAGCCAAAGGTAAACACGAAATGATAATTACAACTGGTTCTTTGAGGGCCAGCATGATGCTCAGGTGAAAATGAGTTTGACACCCCTGCTTTAATATGATTAACATAGGAGAGGTGGTGGAAAGAAGGGGTGGAAATGATCAGTGGTAAATAATATTCAAGTTAAACAATCACCCTTCTTCTTGAATTGTAAATATCTTACAAACTTAAAGTTCGTGTAACTTTTGCACATCTCAGTAATATCAGTAATTTTGAAAATTAACCATTAGTATGTTGACTAGAAAAAGCTGCATAACCATTTTTTTTAAATTTCAGACAAATTTGAGATAATTTACAATTGGAAAGTTATTTGAGAACTTATTCATCCATACTGAAAATAATTGGCTGCAGCATGATTATTTTTATGCAATTTGTAATGTTTAATGATCAGTACAGAAATCTTGATATGCAATAATAAAGCTTGATCATTATATTATTTAAGCTACTGCTTTAATATTACGAGTAAATTTATTATTGTCATAAATAATATTTCAGGAGATCTTCACTCACCCTTAGAGATAAGATGAGTTTAGAGCAGCGTTGCTGCTCCTCTGTATCAAGTGGAGCCAGATGAAAGGATTTGGACATTTAGAATACACGCCTTCCAAGTCACACTTATGCATTTATAATATTTTTTAATTCAGTTGTTATACTGTGCTCTTGAGAATGTCTCTTAATGCTTTTGTGTGTGTATTTTAACATAGTTCTCATACATATGTAAGTAACCTCATTTTAAATATGTTAAAAATAAAATTCAAATAGAATTAGTAAAATAATTTTACAAATACTGTTAATATCACATTATCACCCTCACAACTATTTCCCAACAAACATGCCCTGAAATGTCAGCTGCAATCAGTGTTACAATCTGTTGAATATTTCCTGTTGATCTAGAAACAGTAAAAGCTTTCAGCAAAGGTCTTGCAAGCAAAAACCAAACAAAAACCCTTAAAAGGAAGTGGCGGTTTTAACTTGATGTGAAAATAGGAGGGTTACCCCTGTGACTAATGTGCAGAAAACACACACACACTATGTCACATACACATTCTCACCGAGAGAAGGCAKCAACATGGATGAGCTCGGTAAGTTATCGTTCAATAAAGCTTAAATAGATATTGTAGTTCTAAAACCAATATACAGCTTACTGCAGATTAAAAATGAGAGCGAAGTAAAACAAACGCGTCTACAGAGATGATTTCAGCAACTCATCAGCTTTGTTGTATTTACTGTGGTTAAGTTTTCTTGTTATTTTATGGAATTTTTTTCTCTTTTTTTGTTGTTGTGTTTTCAACACACCTTTCTAAAAGCTCTTAAAGATGCTTTACTGTAACTGGTAATGGTCATGGTGATGGTCAGAAGAAATACATCGAATCAAAAGAAACAACAGGACTTTCACCTCACAAGAAATTCTTTTAGTTTTAACGTAACATGCTTCATGTTTGCTTTAAGCAAAACTTTATTCTTTTTTGTAAACATTATTTTGACTTCTTTATACAGATCCTGTAGCTGAAATAAAAAGTGCTGATAATATTCTTCCTTTTTAAATTGGTGTGTGGTTTTGAAATTTGCTAAGTTAGTTGTATTTGGTTCAGCCACCAGATTCTTGTGACATGATCACAAGTTTCACTTCTGCTACATATCGTGTCATCATTTCCTGAGGAAGCCGATTCGAGTGAAACAACCGGAGTTCACAGCGCAGGAAACAATTCTCTCTGCACAAAACATACTGGTTACCATAAAAACATGAAGGGATGAGTGCAACAGAACAGTGTGCTCTGTTGTTGCATGAACACTGAGCTGTATGCATGAAGTCTGTTTCTTCATCCTGTCACAGATTTGCTGTTAGAAGAGTTGGKCCTGAATCCATCAGGTTCAAGCAGCGCTGCAGAAAACAGAAACAAGAATACAGCTGACAAAAAGGTGAGGGAAACAAAAAACTTAGCACGTTTGAGAGAAATTAAATTGTCTGCAAGCATGCAGTGAGAAAGTTGAATGAGTTTACTGAAGATTAATGAATTCATTACAAATAAAACAAGCATAATTACGGAAGCCGAGAGCGGCTCTTTTCAGCATGTAATTATTTTCTATGGTTTTTGAGGGCCGTTTTCTTGAGATAACGAATCAATTTCCAGATGGTTTTCTTCTTGTGCACCATTCAGTAACCTGGTCCCCTCAGCTCATCGATGAAGTTTACTAT